TGTAATTTAAATACATTTGTTTTTCTTTTACAGATCAATAGTGTTACTTCGCTGATGCGCATCGTATCGGTGAGTACCAAATTATTCTTTGATTTAATTTGGATCTTTGTAAAGAAATTGTATCATATGTAAAAAATGTGTAATTAAAATTTTACGTAAAAATATGAAATATTACAAAATATTACGGATTCTTAAAATGAATGAGCTATTAATTTTAACGTTTAATCCTGAAATGTGTAATCCTGAAATGAGTTCGTTATATTTAATGTGCATACACAGATATTAGATGTGGTTTTCTACATATTTCTACGATTAAATGTTATGTAAGTGCATAGTGCACGAATATAAAGTTCGTGTTTGGATTTAGAATTCTAGAGTAATTTTCATTAAAGTATTATTCATAGAAAGCTTTATAACATATGAATCTGCTTTTAATACTCGCACATTCATATTTTGTATTTCCTTGGAGATTAGGTTCCGATTTGATAGCACGATTAGCAAGCAATGAGCTCCACGTTTCATTATCATATAATACTAATTAACCCCCGACTGCGCCATAAATTGTTGACTTTACCACGTAATTTCTATTACCGGGTTCATTAGATTGAGGTGAGCGGTTTTACGAAAGTCAGTGTAGGACGCCAACAGTATAATTATTTGATGGTTATGAATGTTGTAGGCTAGTATCCTGCAAGATTGTGATATATTACTCTACGGATTGAGACATTATTGCAGCTTGTATTCACATCTCGTTTAGCGCTAAACGTGGGAGTTGTGCGATTCTGACTTTTAGTCAGAAGATTATCTTTAATGTTATTGAAAATTGTGCAACTCCATATTATTTAGCGTTATGTAAGAGATTTAAATGCAGCTTTTAATTCAGAAAATGACAAATAGGAAAAAATGTGGGATATATACATATAAAAAAAAATTATGAAAAATGAATGACATATTATTGCATATGAAATAAATAATAAGATAAAATATTAGATATTTACATTGTTCTCGAAGTAATTATATCTTATACGTAGAATTCAAATTTTATGTAAAATATCTTTTCAATTTTATTCATTATTTTATTCATCAATCTATATAATCCCAAAAATTTTTTATGAAATATCAATGACTATTAATTAATGTAATGTTATTTAAGCGAATAGCAGTTATTATTGTAAATTTTTTTTTCTCGTATTGTCTGAGCAAGAAACTCAATTATTAGGACAATTTCAAATATTTATGTATGTGTTAAAGATTTTGGAATTGAATTTAGACAATGTTTTTCAAAAATATATTCCTTTTTATATTTCTTAAACATTTCGATATAAATATAACAAATTTCTGTTTGGACACAGTTCGTATTTGTGCTTCTCCTTATGAAAAGGCGTAGGCAAATCTGTAGGGCTTCTATCGCGACGATCGTTTCTACAAATGTTCGAAACTCGAGACTGTGTCTAGTTGATGCGTCGCGAGACAACAATCTCGTCGAATCCACACCCAGCTCGCGAAGGTGCGTAACATTGTTACCGAGACATACAGACAACCGCGGAAATTATGATGACCATAACTGAAGATATCTTACATCACGCCTTGCCCATTTTCACGCCGTGTCGCGTCGCGTCGCGTCGAGACTGTCGTCGTAAAATAGGAGCGCGTGTTTTTCCTTTTACGAAGTCGTTGTCGAAGTCAAGCCATTAGCTTTTTCCATGGGCTCGTTAAGCTGGATTCTCACCGTTTCGTGGGTGATACTTCGAGGAGACTCTGGCGCTCGGCACTATCGATCGCCATCAATTACGAACTGTCCAGAATCGCCGATCGTTAAGCCGGTGTCGATTAGATCATTTAACCTCGCCACTTTCTCGCGCGCGACGACGATTTCGATCGACGCGTTCGCGCGTTCATAAATTGATAGTAAAAATAGTATAAAAACGTCGCTGACGCCAAATTAAATGCTACCTTTTTTTCGTAATATCACTGTAAAATTTATTTTAAAAACACTACCGGTCACAGATATAAAATAAATATCGTATCAAAAATAAAAATAAACTAATCTCATTAAATTAACCTGGGAACAGTCATCTGCGATATTTTTATATTCCAGTGGCGAAAAAATGTGAATTGTTGTAAATTGTTTTTTTTTTTGTATACTTGTATTGGTCAACGTATTTTTTTTATTTTTAAATAATTATTCTTTATATACCTTTAAATATACAATTCCATAAAAAATTTACAATAAAAGAGTATATATTCTGGCTATTAACTAAAATCTTTATTTTTTATAAATGTTAATAAGTTATTTAACGTGCTCACTACGTTTAATATTTATTTGGTTTCTACTTCTTTTTTTCAGAAAATTGCGATTAAATTCATATTTATAATGTTCTCAAATATTAATAAATCGGGAAACAATCATTATGATAACTTATATAATAGTGATTATTAATAATAATAATTGGGATGTAAAAACACCTGGAATAACAATTCACGTAAAAAAATAAATCGAGTGACTATTTTTGAGTTAAAGAACAAATATAAATTCCATCACATTCGCATCTATTATTTATCTGCATTTAAGTTTTAAATTCAGAGTTGCTCGGCTCTTAACATAACTTATCAAAAAATCTTATCTTAAAATCTAAAAAAAAAGAAAAATTCTTAGGGGATTATTTCGTGGGAGGAAATTTTCGCAGGTGTTAATATAACCCGCCGGTCAGCTGCCAATTTCCCTCTCCCCTTTTTTCACGCGGGCACCCATGGGATTCTGCGCGCGTGGGGCGCGTGCGAACGAAGTCAGCAGCGACGTGAATGTGTCGCGACTATACTCGCATGCGTGCGTGCGTGCGTGCGTGCGTGCCTGTCTGCCTTGCGTGTGCACCTTCACTGCTACATGCGGCAAACTTCTTCCCCCTCCGTCTCTCATCTTGCGGCGTGTACGGTACACACGTACACGCGGGCGCGTGTACCACTCACGCACGCACTCACACGGGCTCACGCCCGTCATCCTCGTCTCTCTCTCCTTCTCGATCCGCCGCGAGTTCTCTAAGGCGACTTACGCCTACACGTTGTAGTTGCAGCATCCACACTTAGCCCTCCTCAGTCCAGCGCGTGCCTCCACGCGACCAACCACCACCTCGATCACTGCTGCTTTCTCATACTCTCGCGCGGGTTCACGCTCGCGGTGGCGAGCCTCAACACACGTTCCGCCGCGAATTTCGCGCTGACAGTGCTTTCGGCCAGCGCCTGCTTGATCGCGCGCGGCTGATCAAGTGGTCAGCCAGTGTTCTCCTGTGCAACCGTGTCTCGTGACTGGGAGAAAATCGTATAAAGTGCGTTGGATGTGACTGTCATGACGAATGTCGTGTCGACGCTTTCTAACGGTATAATTTCATGAGTGCTCGGCAAAGAAAGCTTCGACGTATTTTGCAGCATTGACATTTATATTATAAATAAATGTAGAATGATCTTTTGAATTATTCTTGTAGAGCTATAAAGATTCATTGAAAATTGAATGACAGTTGAACATTCTTTAATTTTGTTCTTTGGAATATTTGTCCCTGTAAAATGAAGTAAAAATAAATTTGGTATTTCAATGATAGCGTATCGATCTTGCATTGTGTAAGAGCTTGCAGAAATATTCAAGTTCCTAATAATTGCAGTAATTTAATGGAATTTCAACTGTCTTTGAAATTTTAAATATATTTGAAAATCATGACGTCGCATTTGACTTATCTATTTAATTTAATCAATTTTTTTATAAAAAAATAAAATAGATTGAAATGGTGGTGGTTGTATATATTGTCGTAAGTAGGTGAACTGTTTGTGCGAGTATTATCAATATTTGGAATAACTCGGTCAAATTTTGGTGAATATTTTGTGAAGAGTGTTTATATCATAAAAAACAATTCCTCAATGAATTCCAGTGAAAAATATTGCTTGCGAGCAACAGTTGGTTAAGCTATAAGCTATCTAAAATATAGGCATACGGTAGACGCGAGCGAGCAATCGAATTTGTAATTTTATCGTGACGAGCACGAGCTGAGTAGAGAATTTACATTCGATCACCGATCATTCGGAGGTTCGATCGGAAACCAGTCGACGATTGAAGCGCGGGTAGTGTCGTACGTTTCGTTGACGATCATCGTCGACCGCGTTCATCCAGTCTCATCGAGACGACAATAAAACGGAGAACGACAACGGGGAAGGCGAATCGGCAGTTTATCGATCCGTCGATCGATCGGGAAACGTCGCGGCCGCCGTTCGACGAGAGAGAGAACGTTGGCACGCGGATTGGAAATCGGCGAGCGTGGGTCGACACGCGGCGCCAACCTGTTGCTCGAGATCGGACTCGTTTCCATTTAGAGGACTACGGGAGCCCAGGCCGAACTGGCTGCCGTCGTTCCGACACCGTGGGACCCGTCCTCGATCCAGAGCCAGGAATTAATCAACCGGACCAGTGGAGTTTCGAGTACCCCACTTCTGATTAACGCCCGAGCGTGTCTTTATCGACGATGCAGTGGGATCGGAAGGATCTCCGTGGTAGTCTTCTGTTTCGGAGCTAGCTATTGATACCGGTTGTTTTTGATTAACGTTGTGCTTCTCTGAAGGAGGCTGTTGACGATAGGAGGTCTTCAAGACACGTCTTCGACTCGAAATCGAAGATTAATCAAACGAACTTGTGATTAAATGGCCCCAACGGCGGACAATTATCAATCGAATTGTAGAACCAGAGTGAGTTTTCGAGATAGACCTTTTATTCGAAGGAATTTATGAGAATAAACTCATAAGTGGCAGTTCTCATTAATGTCGGAATGTGAATTATAAGTAGTGCAAACGTGTATCGTGTTGAAATAAGAGAAATAATCTTAATATTCATAAGAGTGCGTACCGCTTAACGTTTAAAAGTTATTATACTGAAAGTGTATCGAGAAAGATTGAAATCCAGAACGCAATTTACCTGATTCGTGTCTTCAAAGCCTAAGACTGATGCATAATTCCGAGACAAAATGAACATTATCGGATTCAAAATGCTCAGTTATTCAGTGATCAGTTTCGTGGTCCTTTGGATCAGTCTATCGTCAGGCAGCCTTTTGACCAACGAATTATTGGAATGTCGAGCAAATTTGACGGCGGCGATAAAAAACGATACGACGTTCCTAGAGAAAGTTCGCCAGTCGGACTACATCTTTACGGGAAAAGTCAAGGAGCTACAACATGGACAGCTGTTGCACGTGCGCGTCAAGAGGGCGATCAAGGGTGCGCTGAACGTCACCGTCGACCTCCTGGTGAATAATACCTGCGGTCGTTACATCAGACGTAGTTACACCGGCATTTTCATGGCACGTCGCAGTGCCAACGACGTTGGCAGGATCGTGATGCACTTCGGCCCGGTACCACTTACGCTCGCCAACCTCGACAGGCTGAACGCCGCCGTCAGAGGTAAGCTCGCCGTCAGGCATATCGTTTCGTTCTTCGCTTTCACGGAACGCGAACGTTCGCGCTTTAACGAGACACTTTAACGTCGCGCTAAAATGCTTCCCGTTAATTGGATAAGTCGGAATACGGACTACCCGATGTAGCATCGCCGGGTGCGAGATACAAGCGCGGCGGCTGCTTGTCCGTTTCACGTTTAATGGATCTAGTCATCGAGCGAGAGATTTCACAAAGGAATGTGCGCGGCTCGCTTGGATTATACAGTTTGTGTTTATTGTTTATTTTTTATACGTCGCGTTGGTTGATTTCGGAGCCGAGTTGTAAATCTTTGACAAAGTTTGGAAACTCGTGGTTTTCACGCTTTATGAATGTAAATAGATAACCGAATTTTTTTCTAAGGGATTTAATTTTTTATTTATCTATGAACAATCTGCACGGATTTTATTAAATATGAATTTACAAAATTATGTTGAGAATCTTTTGCTTTATTTTGATTTGCGGTATACAAGAGTTTATTCCAATTTCTATTCTTTTTGTTTCCTACAACCTGCATTGCGCATAATTTTCTTTAGAAGTAAAAAAAGGGTTTTACATTCACGATGATTCTTATCTTTTTTCTTGTATATTCTCTTACAAGAATCATGCGTGAGCGTGTTGACACGCAATGTGTTGTTGCTATGTAGGTGGATAAAACACGTCAGTCGGTTAGTATTCAAGGTCCACTGGACAATCGTCTCGACAAAAGCATAAGAGAACTAGAAACGGTTAAAACATCTTAAATTAATTTCTGAGAATATTGTATAATAAAAGTAAAATTTTTTTTTATTGCAATTGATTTTTTAAACTATATTTCTAATTTATAACATAAATGACAATAGAGAGATTATGTATCATAATTCTTAACTGTTAAATTAATAATTGTTAAATTCATAATATTAAATTACACTCAATTTAAGTTTACCTTTAATCATTCCTAAGAACATTTATTCTATTGGGTTGTCCGGAAAGTTCATGCCGACTAATCTATATAATTTAATAAATGTATACTAAAATTTTCTGCGTTTAAATTTTCCTTCAATATCGGCATGAACTTTCTGAACAACCCAATATTATAATACTTTTTTTTTGCTCCTTTAAAAGCTATATTAAAAAATTCTCGGTAATTCGATGAGTCACATGATTCTACATAAAATCTAGTTAAGATCTGAATGGAATGCGTGGCTCGCAAGAAAGTTTGATTCATTGCGTCGCGTTAACCCCGAGGATTATTAAATCACGGCCATTTTGCCTCACGCACGCTGGCCGTGCCCCCCTTTTCATCGCGTTAATCGCGCTAAATAAAGCGACGCGCATTATAAATAAATTACGACTGTAATTTAACTTCTTTACGATCTGAGCAGTGCTTAATTCCTCCCTCGGGGCCGATGATACCGTTCCGACGTGTTGTATCCCGATGGTCACTGGAATTGTTTCGTGGACTATTAAAGAAATTAATGTAGAAATTATAAGACTGGCTTTCCGGGACACATATCGCAGGCTCCGAAAGTGATAGGAGTCATGATTTATTTAATAAGCGGAGATTAAGTGCAGTCTCTTTCTCTCTTTCTCGCGTTTTCGGGTCCTCTTGTCTTTTTGCTTCCGAGATCGGTTTACGGTCGAATGTGGCGCGACGACGATGTCAACGACGCGATACGACGACGTTGATGAATAAAAGTTCCAAGTGTAGACCCCCGCGGCCAATCGTTTAATCTCAATAACTCACAATGATGCCTGGACCCGATAAGGCTGTCGGACGTCGCTTTCCCCAATCTGCCTGCTCCTTTTTTCCCATCATTTGCAAGTTGATCGGCATCGTGAGTCGCTGTAAAGTGTTGCCGGGATCTTTGACGAAAGCCGTCACGTATAATTAGAAGTTTTTCCCGGTGGCACCCGCGGGGCTCGATTCGAGTTAACGAGGAGTTTAGTTCGTGAGCTCGAACGCCGGGCGTCAATCAGGACACGGAAGAAGAGAGTCGTTTCGCGATAATGAAAGGGTAAGCATCGCTGAGAAAATTGTCACACTTGTTTACGCGAAATCGTACGAGATTGATGGCGTGTCCCGCGCGGTCTAATAATGTCTTCAACAGCTGTATATTATATCTCTGAAATATCTCGAGTCATGCTGGAATGATAAGAATTAGATAAGATGTTATATTGCACATAATATAGTGGCATAAAAATAAAAAAAATGGTCTTAAATGTTATTGAATTTAATTATTGAAATACTTTTTTAAGTTGTTGATTATCACATGTCAAATACAAGAATAAAATAAATTATAGAAATCAAAGCCTTAAGTCTAGTTAGATCTTAAATGTTTGTATGGTTCTTGTGTAAATTTATATACTACGTATGTAGTCCTTAGAAACGCGTGCCGAAATGATTTTTCGGTTTTGAACGCTAACTCTACTAAACCATCGCAGTAATATTATGAGTTAAATTGAACAAGAATAAAACATTGAAAAAAATACTCTAAAACTTTTACAATAAAATAAAAAATAATAAAAGTTCAGATGAAACTAATGAGAGTCATACGCTGTTGTAGAAGCAAAGAGATAGGAGAAGCAGATAATCTTCAGATGTTGATGATCTTCATTTTATTTTGACTAAGTGAATCTTTAGTGAATCTCACTCTTTTTCAAGACTGATTCAATTTTCACTCTTTAGAATGAGATTCTGCTCCTAAGAATTCAAAGAGTACTCGAACGTTCGTGTCAGCTGCATTTAGGACCGAAATGCGCGGGCGCTATTATTTGCTCCTGCGCATCTTTAGGAATACAAGACTCTGTCTAATTCCATCATATCTCGAATATTCTATCGAGAACTTGGTGAATTTAAATAAGACTTTTCCTCGTCATTATTACTTGATATATACACTTATCAACTAAGAATTCGAGTGAGGATTGATTCTCGAATTTCTGAATTGAAATCTAATCGCAACAATTTTACGCTATTAACGCAGTTAACGTAGGGAGAGATGATGGTTAAGATCGATGTACTGTTAACTCGTGCGCACCATCTTAAGAGATAAGTTGCCCATCCCTCTAATTCTTTCTCCGCCAATCTTGTCGTTCGCTTGGCTGATCGCGACTACACGGCGCCGTGTTAATCACGATGCCGGTCGTTCATTGGATATCGATTTTCTGGATTCGAACGGGTCGCCTTTACCGTGCACGGAACGGCGTTTTATGATGCAGCAATGAGAATCTATCCTGTTTGACTCGCGCATGAATTTTGCTTGTGGGAGGAATCGCGATACCTCCGAGCACACGTGCGCGCTTTTTCAGAACGCTATCAACCTCTTCCTGGTATGTAATTTTCATAGAAGTGCTCTCGATTAAGTTGCAGTTCTCCTTTTATCTTAACGATAAAAGGCGAGATAGCGTACTTCTGGTGATAATGTACATCGTTATCATTGCACTCCGGCAGTTCCAGATTGCAACCTCGTGTGAATGGAATCTCGTACAGATATGTTAAATATCTATGGATGATAATAAACGAACAACATATCTGTTTTCTCTCATGTTAACATGAATAAATTTCAAATGTATAGTTAGGTTTCTGTCTCGGTCGGGAAACGTTAAACGTGTTTTTATTAGAATTTTAACTTTTCGCGAAGATATCGTTAATTTGCCATCGTCCGTAATGTCGCGATACCGAATACCATAATTACCAGCACGACTTGGCGAAGCTGCACCTGGTCGCCCACGTCCGCGTTTGTGTATGGTTTCACGTGTATGGTCTCACTTGACGTCTGTTCTTGGTGCGGCGCGGCAGCAGGACGTGGCGTTTTCTCCGCGCCGCGGGTCCTGAGACCCGATTCAGGCTCCGAGTCATCTCTCTTTCTCTCGGGGGATCAGCATAATACGGTGCCGGCCCACGCGTCCTGCCAACACAGGCACGCCCAGTCACATAACTGCCCAGGTGTGCCTGATTTCGAGAACTTGTGCTCTCTTCTCCTACAACCCCCCGCGAAATATAGACAAGTTGAAATTTATTTGGCGAACATTTCTCTTTTGAAAGATACAGAACGAACGATTTTGAAACTTTGAAATTCCCTTTTGCAATTTTTTTATACCGATAGATGTGTTGTACTTTAATTACCTTTTTGATACAATAGTAGTATACTATTGTTCTATTCTAATTACAAATTTTCTAAATAAACTTTTCTAAAGAAACTGCAATTTTCGGAAAAAATTTAGTCTTTAGTTGTTTAGTTGAGTCATTTTTTAACAATAACCAAATATTTTGTTTATATAACAAAAAATTTAATTATTTTTGCGAAATACATTTTTTATTTTATAAATGAAAAAATATCAGTTTATGAATAATTTAGTACGCTTAAAATTACAATTTTATTCGATACATGTAAACAAAACATTTTTATTAGGTATATTTCAAATTTTTATTACAGTAAAATTTTGATTTGTAGAACAAAATATTTTTCAAGTGTAATTCATGAATCGAAAGTGTTCCATGAGAAATTACACTGAGAAAAAAATATAGTTAATTTTAATAAATATTTAGTTACAACTAAACGTTAGACTTACAGTAAGTATATATTTGTTCAGTAAAAAAAATGATTGTTAAATCAAATCAACATTTCTTGTATTATTAAAATTGACCATATTTTTTTTCAGTGCACAATTTAATTTTATATTATATAGAATAAGTATATAATAACGAAAAATTATTATCGCTTTTCACGAAATATAGACGAATTAAAAATTATTGATTTAATAAAGATTTATCTTTTAAAATCAATGTCTTTACAGCTTTTTAATTTTTTCGTATAATTTTTCATACCAATTAAATTGTTTTAATTATCCTGTCAATAGGTATTAATTAAAAATATCAAATAATATTTATCAAATAAGATTTAAAAATTGATTTAAACACGATATTGCACCTCGAGAAATTGCACGTAATTTTACTCTGTACATATATATAGAATATATACGCAAAACTCATTGCAAGTTTTCGAAATGAACTTAGAATGAATAGAACATCAGTAGAAATCAGATGCCGTAAATGAGTAGCGAAAACACA